ATGTAATAGGCATATGACTGTATCTATATACCTCACTTAAATACCTGTATATCTATAATTACATGTTCCTACAGTGGGAAGCCCCGCCAGCCGAGGCGGGCGCGCGCTAGCGTTTACAATTATTTGCTATAGATATATATATATATACACGTTCTAGTTTTTCTCTAAATTCCCTAACAGCAACCCAGTTACAGGCTTAAAGTTTGGGGTTCATGGCGTAGGGGTTCAGCACTGAGCACATTTGATGGTTTATCGCATACGGTTCTGAATGACCATAAACATAGCAAGGTAAGCAGCTGGTTTTAGGCTTTAGGGTTTAGGGAGAAAAAAGCAACAAAGGCAGCAGGATCCACGCACTCCAAGAAGTCCATCCTGCTGCCCAGTCATACAACATCCCAAACACATAGCTTCACGGTGATAAACTAGATCACGATGACAAGACATGCAGTATCCTAGACTTCCTAAAGGCCTTGAAGAATTCTCTCACACGCACACGCAATGTTGAGTTTTCTTCTCGGGCCCAATGAGGACATGATGAGTCAGTACATTGCAGGGCCACATGAGAAATTGATACCCTGCACGAAAGCAACTTGACCTAGAGGCCTTCAACCCTAAATCTAAAAACAACGACCGCGAGTACTCTAACAGTTTAGGGCTTTCCCGGCATGCTGACTCGTACAGCCTGCATGACCGAAAGTACCCAAGGTTCTTTATGCCCCGGCCCCGAACCCGAAACCCGAAACCCCAACACCTGGAATCCTGAACCCTTAAACCCTAAAGCCCCAAACCCTAAAAGCCTCAACACAAGACCCAGTTCATCCATGGCACTGCTGCGCCGCTCGCCAGCGCTTTGCCTGTGGATCGTGGCCGCCTGCAACATATGGGAGTCTTAGGGTCCTGAGTTTAAAGGGCGTTACAGGGGATGGTGGGTTCAGACCTGTGGGCAATTATCGGCTCCCATGGCTACAAGCAAAAATCTCAGGATATGACAGAACCTCTATGGGCACATAGAAGTGAAATTATTGAAGTCTGCCTGGTAGGTGACTGGACAGGTCCTCTCCAAAAGAAGCACATTCCATTTTTGGCTGTATGGTGCCAAGCACTCAAGCAATATGTTCTAGGTTTCAGGGAAGAAAGCTTAGCGGTTTTAGGGTTGGTTTGGGGGTAACAAACCAACCAACCCACTTGAAGGTACCTGATTCAAAAGTTGTCCACTAGATGCTTTAGGAGCAGGGGTCATAGGGCCTATGTCTTCTGGCTAGGTATTCGCATCTCTTTTAAATTCAGAGGTTCCCTATTGTTGATGGGATCTATTCTGAAATGTAAAAAACTGAGAACTCCCCAAAAAGTTGCCCAGGCTAAGGGTACACTATGGACTTTTGGACGTGTAGGAGTTA